TATGAATGACCATTTATTTTAACAATTTTTCCATTTCACAAAAAAGTTTTCGGTTAAAATATATCTTAGGTCACTCCCGGAATTGCTAAGATGCGCCTGGCATATCTGTTCGTGAAGTTTCATCACGTAAGTTTCACACATACGCCCGGACACATAGACAGACAAAATTTTTACAAATGTTGATGTCTTAACGGCTTACAAATAACCCCCTGAAGATCGATATAAGGCAGTTATTTTATACTACAGACAGACACTTCAATTTTATTTATATCATTTATATGTGAATAAATGAAGAGATAAAGTTAAATGGATTAACGTTTTAATATACTTTACGACCAACTAATATGTAAATCGAGTAATATATAAACACTAACACACTAACCTAACCTAACTATACCTATAAAAGCTAATATCTTATAAATTATGTAAAATAAAAAATAAACAAACTATACACAATAACCAATACTTATAAATTATTATGTTTTTAAAAATTCATAAACGTGCGGGTTCATGCATTATAGTGCGCGATGCATCACAAACTGGGTCGCGTCAGCCGCTGCGATAAGCCATTCAATAATTTGAAAACATTTTTATCGCTACAGCGGATTGTATTTGCTAAATAATTGTAACATATGACAAAAAATACAATTAATGAATGAAATAATATATAACATGTTATATTATAATGATACCATATATTTAAGAGAATACCACATGTTGAACGAATTTATCGTGTGTAATATTAAAAAATTATTCATAATTCTAGACGTGTCGAATCTCTTGCAGAATTATGTCAATGATTAAGAAGTACACTACTCTTAAATGTTAGGTAAGCTCATTCTGCGTAGATCGGATTAAAAAATGTTGCCTCCGTTCTATGACATCAAGACGTTATACCTCCGTCCTCCGTGATCGTAAGTGCTACGATGTACCAAAACGTCGGGAATTAAAATAAATCAAAATGAACCTTAATAGAATCAGGCGTTACTTTGCGGAAGTCGGAATTATATTAAAGTTGGTACGCGAAGTAATTTTTTACCAACTTTAACAAAATGAACCTTGACAAAAAATCTGTAAAAATTATTATTTTACATGAACATATTAAAAATAATAAAAGTAATAGCTGGTACAATAAAAGTTTTGACACGATGACTATCTGTATACACTGCAAAGTGTAATCATATCGAAAATCTTACACTTTGCCGTGTGATGGCTGTGCGGCGTAAGAGATTTAATTTCGTCCCGTGTATACCGTAAGAGACGGCTGGGAAATACCAGAAGAAAATGTATGGCTTCCCATAAATGGCGGTAGAACAACACAGTACCAGACGTAAAATACTCATAATAAATACCGGCAACGGAGATTAACGTCGCGTAATTAGATCGCGTTTAGTTTTTAGTAGGTACCTCTTGTAAAACGTATTAAATAATGCTATTACCATAAATACATGTCATCATTTTAAACATACATACAAACTAGTATTTCCTAAAATAAAGCACACTTCGCGGGATATGTGAACTCTATCAATAAGCATTTACGCTGCGCGGTGGACTTTCCCCCACATTACAGAAACTGTACAATTCTGGTGGAACGCGTTGCCGGTAGAAATGACTACGCAACTGCTTTGTACACTTAAATGAGATATAAATATAATAAACCGGACATGTGCATGTAGGACTCGAGCCCGAGGGTTCCGTATAAACTTCATCCATAACGGGAATTATAGGTAAGGTAAGCACTGAACATTGCTCTAATGAAAAGGTAAGTCGAATTAAAAGACAAAATTAACTCTGCAGTGGAAAAAAATATTCTATTATAAATCGGTCTACATCACGGGTTTTGCTTTAACAACTTTTTACAGAATATTGCAAAAATGTAAGTTTGTAATCACAACTTCACCTTGAAATGACTTCGGCTTATAAATTATAAGTAATACTAATAAACAAAACTATACAATGAAACCAAACTTAAAAGTAAAAAGTAAAAACGAAGCCAAACGCGATTTTCACCAGATTTACACAATAGCACTGCGTGTTCAGTTACGTGTCATTTATTGTTTACAGGCTGTTACTTTACATTGTCTCAACTCGTTAGGCTACTACTGTCGCTCAAGTAGTTATTATATTTATCAAAATTTTTGAGCAATAAATTAAATAAAGTTTCTTCTCTAGACGACTATTAAAGTAAATCAATCCGAAAGTTATATCTTTCACGAAATTACTTCTCATACTCGTATAAACGTTATTTGGAATTTTACCGAGAATATGGAGCACAACAATAAACGAATTATACCAACACTAAAAATAGACTTTAATGTCTTTTCTTCCAATTGGATTTGTATAGTATAAGAACAGTTTATTTTAGTATTAAAATAGAGAAGTATTAAAATAAATAAGCTTATATTGTTTATAACGAATGTCATTCTAGTTTTCTTTCAACCTTAGCAGTACCTCAAGTTTATTAATCTAAATTTGCGCAATATATATCACGTTCACGATTTTGATTAATGATGGATTTCGACTACGGTGCCAAATTTTAAATGCTATCGGAAGATGTCAACTGCGCCGGACATGTTATAGTGCCGCAAATATAGGGGTAAATATAGTGATACACACTCATTACAATCTGACCATATTCGATGTCGAATTTATAAAACACATGATGAAATTGGAAACGTGCAGCAGAGCCTCGGCAGCCTCGGGCATAAAATATAAATAACAGTGGTAGAGCCACGCGGTAGCTTTAGCTGTCGCACGGATGGGCCGGCTCGAACCGGGGTGGTACCACGACCTCACAGAAAACCAGCGTGAAGTAGAGGTTTACCTCTGCGTTTCACTTGGTGAGTGCAGGTGGCCGGAAGCCCTTTTTACTGGAAATGAGGCATTCCATCTTAGTCCTCGCGGGTGACAACGCATCTACATTTTGATTTGTAATAGAGGATAGATGTAGATGTCTATGGGCCGCAGCAACCACTTACCATCAGGTGGACTGTGTGCTCGTTTGTCACCCTTATCCTATTAAAAAAAAATATATTAAAGACAATATCGTCATCATTATCACAATTTTTCAGCTTAAGTCGCACGACACAGTCATCTTCAAGAAATTTAGTTTGATATTTTTTATAGAATAAGAGTGACAAACGAGCACACAGTCCACCTGATGTTACGAGTAAGTCGATGCTGTAGCCCATAAACATCTATATCTATCCTCAATTAAGAATAAAAATGCTGATGCGTTGTCACACTTGAGGACTGAGATGGAATGCTCCGTTTCCAGTATAAAGGGTCTCAGATTTTCTACACTTACCATACGAAACACAGCAGCATTAAGCTGCTATATTACGCTGTTATTCTGTGAGAGCGTGGCCCTACCCCGGTCGAGACGACTCGTTCGTACTACAACAATAATGTAGCTGCAGCGTGGCTCTACCACTTGGAAAAAAATCGCATATTCACCACACTGGGCAGATGATGCGACGGGATTGTAAGAACCAAGCCGATACTTCAGACTTTTCGCAAAAATTGGTTTTTAAATATTTTTATAGATAAAACATTTATAAATTTATCTGGATGCGGTAACCACTAAGTTCCATTTTACAAAGTTTCGCTTCAGGTATTCAAAATCAAACACTGGCTGATAATAGGTTAAAAACTATACACTCTGATTTAATCGTATGAAAAAATTATCATGAATAAACTTCACTTTCTATTACAAAATGCTTTGTAAAAGTCAGTTTGGAATTAAAATAATTTGGTCTTTGTCTTTACTGACGACATAGTGCTGTTCATCTCATTCCTCTCACGAGTATACTAATTACGATCTGCGAATGGCAGGTACCTATGCGCAACATTGTATTTACAACTACTAACTAACAATTGCATACGATAACAATGCTAATAGAACTTGGTCGTCGACGATTCGAGTACGTTGTTCGTTGAATAGTATAGTAATAGTAGCAGAATTTACGCGTGTTTCCTGCTCACAATGTTAACACAGTGCGCTTACACCAAGCATCCCAATCTGCTTAGAGGTCAATCGACATGTCAACACCGAAGATTTCGGTACTGGGAAGTGCTTTAATTTACTAATACTATTCTTCTACTAATAAACTAGCTGTTCCCCGCGACTTCGCCCGCGTGTTATTTGGGGTTTTCATTTTTTTTGCGCGGAACCCTAATTATTTTTCTAAAATAAAAGTTGCCTAAGTTACTTCTTGTGACATCAGCTATCTGCCAGTGAAAATCACGTCAAAATCGGTCCAGCCGTTTCAGAGATTAGCCGGAACAAACAGACAGACAGACGGGTAGATAGACAGACAGATAGACAAAAACTTTAAAAATTGTATTTTTGTTATTAGTACCGTATATACTTTCATATGCATTTAGTAAAAAGCTGTAATTTTGACAATACAAACAGACACTCCAATTTTATTTAATTGTATAGAATATAGAATTGTATAGATTATCAAGTAAGCTAACATAACCATATATTATGTATTTTAATAACAAGAGTTTCAAAAATGATAAGGTATATATTATTTGACGAATATTTTTTTATGTATGTTTACAAATTTCTCGGAAGCGGCTAAATAGGTTTTAATGATTTTCTTTTACTAAATAGGCTATATACCGTGTAGTGGCGATTACTGTGTGGTAGCGGTGTAAGAATATCCACTTCCCCATATCATCCTGTGGGTAAGAGGAAACAAATCTAGTGAAATCTAATCAGTATAAAAAACAACTGCGGTTGCTAACCCGCTTGCCATGCGTGGCAACTATGTGAAAGATCCCCCCTATGAGGTAATCTATGGGGAGGTCTATGTACAGCAGTGGGCTTTAATAGGCTGTAACGGTAACGGTAAATAGGTTACAGCTTCAGGGGTGGATTCATACAAATTTAAAGAAAAAAAATTCATCCCTATAGGCGAATTATCGCGTCAATCGATTTCGATGAATATACTTCAATTATTGTAAAATGAATCCTTATGTTGTATACTCACTCTGACAGGTGCCGGGAAGAGCGACGAGGCATCCGGCTCGGCGGCGTGCGCGTGCGACATCTGGTGCGCGCGAGCCTGCCGCTCGCGTTCCCGGTCGCGTTCGCGTTCGCGCTCGCGCTCGCGACCCGCCCACGTACCGCCCGCACCCCCGCCCGCCCCGCCGCCACCGCCGCCGCCGACGCCGCCGCCGCCGCCCCCGCCCCCACCCCCGCCCCGGTCCCACTTGTCGTACCTGAAAGGACAAAAATACATTTAATGAAGTGTGAAAAAGGGATTTTTTTTTAAATTTGAAGAAATATTTAATTTAAAGGTAACCTTCGTTGACTGTAACATCAGAACGTAAAACATCTCAGTTCCCACCCATAACCATGGGTGCTGCAAAGTGCCCGATTCATCGGGAATTAAAAAAGTAAAAATAAAATGCGAAAAATTCCCAACATGAAGTCTCTCATTGAAATCTTAACCAAAAATTATATTGCATGAACCATCAAAATATGCATATTATGTACTAATTTAGACTAGACTGATTCAATTTCCAATGAATAACACTTCAGGAAAACCTAGTACATTCATTTAGTCAGCCATAAATTGTTGTTCGAACCATAATTCACTTGTTGCGAGCGACGTAAGACAACACGTTAATTAACTAGTGCGCGAACTGAATGAGATGGTTACAGAATAATTTAGAACATATTTCGTGAACTATACAATATAAAATGCCGTAGCAAGAGCATAAAATGTCGAACATTTATTAAAAACAAATTCAGTGCATTATTTAATAAGTATTGCAAATTTAGCGTTTAAGAATATCCACTACCCCATTTCATTGTCTTCCTAATAACGACTAAAAATAAAAAACTGCGGTTGCCAACCCGCTTCCCCAGCGTGGCAAACTGGCAAGTATGGCAATCTATGGGGGAAGGCTTATGTTCGTTCAGCAGTGGACTTTAATACGGCTGTAACATCATCATCATCATCATTACAGCCCTTCACAAGTCCACTGCTGAACATAGGCCTCCCCCAAAGAATGCCACAAAGCACGGTCCTGAGCCACCTGCATCCATCGACTTCCTGCATATCTTACCAGGTCGTCACTCCATCTAGTGGGGGGACGCCCTACACTTCGCCTGCCGGTACGAGGCTGCCACTCGAGAACCTTTCTTCCCCATCGGTTGTCGGTTCTTCGAGCTATATGGCCGGCCCATTGCCACTTCAGCTTACTAATCCGTTGGGCTATGTCGGTCACTCTAGTTCTACTGCGGATATCCTCATTTCTGAGTTTATCACGCAGAGAAACTCCGAGCATAGCCCTCTCCATAGCTCGCTGAGCGACCTTGAGCTTCCTCATCCGGCCAGCAGTGAAGGACCACGTCTCAGTTCCGTATGTCATCACTGGCAACACGCACTGGGTGTACAGTCTCGTTTTCAAGTTTTGAGGTATACCTGACGAGAAGATGTGCCGTAATTTCCCGAACGCTGCCCAACCGAGTTGAATCCGTCGATTGACCTCTCGGTCGAAGTTGGACTTACCTAGTCGGACTATTTGTCCCAGGTAAACATACTCGTCAACAACTTCGAGCTTAGTGTTCCCAACAACTACCGGCATAGGTGTGACATGGACATTAAACATGATCTTAGTTTTGTCCATGTTCATCTTAAGACCTATCCGTTGGGAAACACTATTGAGGTCATTGAGCATAGTGTTTAGGTCCTCCAGCGATTCTGCCATAAGGACTATATCGTCGGCAAATCGAAGGTGAGTGATGTACTCGCCATTGATGTTGATACCGTATCCTTTCCAGTCCAGAAGCTTGAAAACATCTTCCAATGCAGCGGTAAAGAGTTTCGGGGATATGACGTCACCCTGTCTTACACCTCTCTGCAATTGGATAGGTTTCGTACTCTGGTTCTGTACTCGGATAGCCATTGTAGCCCTACTGTACAAGCACTTCAACACTTCGATATACCGACAGTCAACTTGGCATCGCTGAAGGGACTGCAGCACCGCCCAAATTTCGACGGAATCAAAGGCTTTCTCATAGTCCACATACGCCAGACATAGTGGCAAATTGTACTCCTCGGACTTCTGTACAATTTGCCGAAGGGTATGTATGTGGTCTATGGTGCTAAAGCCTTTTCGGAAACCAGCTTGTTCGGGAGGCTGGAAGTCGTCAAGTCTGCGCGCGAGACGATTCGTAATGACTCTCGAAAACAGCACGTAGACGCGGCTCAGAAGGGAAATCGGTCTGTAGTTCTTCAAGAGAGCGTTGTCGCCTTTCTTGAAGAACAAGACCACCGCACTTCTGCTCCACGCCTCCGGTGTAATGCCACCATGGAGAACGGAATTAAAGAGCTTCTGAAGGACTTCAAGTACCGGTTTTCCACCCGCTTGCAGAAGCTCCGCTGTAATTCCATCCTCGCCTGGGGCCTTGCCGTTTTTAAGGTGCTGGAGAGCCATTCTAATCTCGCTCAGACTGACGTCCGGGATATCATCGGAATAATGTCGGATAAGACTCGCTCTTGGATCGTTACTCACACTTGCGTGCGGCTCCAACGATGACGTGTACAGCTGCCCATAGAACCTCTCAATCTCACTCAAAATCTCAGGTGCCCCGGAAACGATGCTGCCACATTCTGTCTTCAGCTTTGACAGTTGGCGCTTTCTGGCAGACAGATCTCTGGCAAAGACTTTGGAGCCTCGGTTCCGCTCGATCGCTTCTTCAATACGAGCTGTATTGAATTTGCGTAAGTCCCGCCGCATGCATTTGGAGATCTGTCTGTTCAGTTGCCTGTATGCTGTTAAATCTGTTGAAGAATGTAGCTTCATCTCCCGTCTAACAGCCATGAGATTAAGAGTGTGATCGGAGAGTTTTTGTGTTCTTCTGCGGCGGGTCTTGCAGAACTTAGCTCCGACCGCATGGACAGTTTCCACGAGCTTGTCATTCAAATCGTCCACTTCATTGCAGTCTTCTAGGCACTGAAAACGGTTTTGTAACTCGAGCTGAAAGGTTTCGGGACTTTGGATTAGAGCACGAGGGGGACGGAGCGTTGACTTCATTAGACGAGACCTCTCCAACTTAACGTTTAGGTTCAGTGTGCCTCTAACCATTCGGTGATCGCTGCCGGTTTTCACCCTCGCGATCACTGAGACATCACTGAACAGTTGTCGTCTGGTCGTCATAATGAAGTCAATCTCATTTTTTGTCGAACCGTCGGGGCTCGACCAGGTCCACTTCCTGTGGGGCCGCTTCTGGAAGAAAGAGTTCATCATAAAGAGTCCCTCTTTCTCCATGAAGTCGGCCAGCTGCTGGCCCCTTGGGTTCCGTTGCCCTATTCCAAATTTCCCTACTTTCAGCTCACCGTTCTCTCTTGTGCCTAGTTTTGCATTGAAGTCTCCCATTAACACCGTATATTGGGTTTTGGAGGAATGCATGGCTCTAGAGATATCCTCATACATTTCCTCCACCTCCTGATCGGGGTGTGCCGAGGTTGGTGCGTAAACCTGTATGACCTTCAGCGAATACCGTTTGGTGATTCTGAGTATAAGGTACGCAACCCTCGTCGACACACTCTCAATCTTTACAACGTTGTTAACGAGAGACTTGTGGACGATAAATCCGACACCTCCTTGGGACAGATGGTCGCCCTCCCGGTAATAGAGCAAGTTGCCGGATTCGAGGATTACCGTGTCCTCCCCCTCTCTTCGGACTTCGGATAATCCTATAATATGCCAGCGTAACTTGTCTATCTCTTCTTCCAGCTCCACAATCTTCTCGTCAGTCCTCAGGGTGCGTGCGTTGTATGTTGCCAGGTCGAGTCGTCGTAGGTGGCAACCGAACCTCCACCGGAGATTCTTAGCACCCCCTACACGCCCCCCTTACACGGCTGTAACGGTATTGCAAAATTATATTAACCTATACATGTAGGTTTTAATGATTTATAGCAAACTAAAGGAAGTCGATGCAAACTAAGGAAATATAAAAACTTTCGTGAAATTAAACAATTCACATATAATTTCACACTTCTTATACACAATAGCGCAGGAATCATAAAATTCCGCCGTCCCTCTCTTAACGTGTCGTAAAATGCGACTAACGGTTTGTTGAGAATATTTATATATCATTTTTAAAACTGTTTTCCTCCCCTCTGGAAAGACGCCAACAAAGTGTATAATTTTCGTATTAAGAGGGCAAATATGTCTCATTCAATTCTATATCTTAATGAGACTGAAATTTTAATTGCGATTATTTTTTCTAGACTAATAAAATTTAAAGCGCCAATGGATTCCTGATACAGAATTATTATGTCCTTATATTATAATTTTCTAAAGGGAAGATAGTAAGTTTAAAGTTGCCATTTGTGTACAAATGTGGATACAAATATAGGTTATTCTATAGAAATATAGGATAATCTAGAGACAATAAAAATAATAATAAATAACACCCCAACAAAATTGAGGCATATCTGCGGAAAGGCGCTAGTAAACCTAGTTCGATACTCACCGGCAGGAATGAAATTATTTTAATAGCAATTTTAAGAGTTGGTTTTGTTTACCACATAATATCTATAAATGTTCAGTCGCGTTCATAATTCACTTTAATTTGTTAAAATTCCGTTAACTTTAAATTAGAGTATCGCTTAGAGTCGAAATATAAAAATACAACAAATTTCTAGATCAAGACATTAGAACAATATGCTGATACTGAAATACTGAAATCATTTTCAATGTTTAAAATGTAGATATATTCACAGGATAATAGAACTATTAAGAAACAAATGTACATTAAAACAACACTGTTTTCCTGTGTACAATATTTCTGTTGGGGGCTATGTATTCGATAGTAGGTCAGCTTGCTTTTGCATCGTGCTGTCTAGATCCATATAAACAGATGAAATGCCTTTTGAATGTAAAAATGTCTTTTAAAATATTAAGAGAAGAAATAAACAAAATTGCCAGCTTTTAAGTGTAAACAAACTTTAAGTTAAGCTGGGGTCAGATAGGTGGCGATGTAGTCTTACTAGGTTTAATGACTCATACATTCTCTCATTTTGGTTTAGTTTATTGACAAAAAAGAAAATTACAAAATATGTACTCAAAAGGTGGCGTTGTGATGGAGTTATTAAAAAGGCAGAACAACGTCTGCCGGGCCAGCTATTTTAACATAAAATAAATAAATTAAAAGACAGACATTTACGTATCTTCCTGGCGTCTGTCTGAGAGAGTATAAACTG